TCTGCTTGATTCTCTGTTCAACATCTATGAGAACCATCAGCTGGAGATGAGAAATGCCTAGAGGGTCTAAAGGAGCATATGGCTGGGAATAGTTTTGGGGGTTTTTTTTGAGAGGCAAAGTCATGGAAATGAAGACACGTAACCCCATCGAAGAGCATCCATGATGAGTATTTTGGCAGAGAGGGTAGAACACACCTAAAATCAAATACAGCCTGCAGAAATTAAATCACAGTCTCTTCAACTGGTGTGGAACCAGCACTGAGACACCTGTGGTTTCTAGACGAAAAGAGGTGACAAAGGAGGACAAGTGGAAAGATGAAGGCTCTGGCATGATGCCAAGACATTACACACCATTAGTCCCAACATGCTAGCTGGGCATTAACAAAAAGAGAGACAACGTGATCTGTTGATGAGTCCCAAGATAAGGGGGGCAGAAAATACATAAGGTAGGCCAAGGACTGACAAAGTCTTTAGTTTTCTGCAAGCCTGACCCAAGTACTACTTAGGAGTGAGTCGTCTTGTACGAAAATGGCACAGTTTTATGAGGAATCCACTCTAAAATTAGTCACAGGTTGGCTGATTCAACTTAATATCTAATTCATTCTCCCTGGCTATTGTAAGTGCCTATATCATCGCTTGAAAAACAGACTGAACATCGTAGTATCTTGTTATACAATATCCAGAAGCCCTTTGTTAAGAATACAGATTTCTCATCACACAAAATGCCCCACTGCTAAAAAAGGCAACACATTCCAAAGACCTTTTCTCATACATACTTGAGGAAAAGAAGCTGGGGAAGCATTACTGGACTTGGATCTCCCATAGCTCTGCAACTAGCATCCCTACTACTTGGTGCTTGCAAGCCCAAAACTCTGATGAACCTTCATTACTATTTAGACACACATTTTTTCAATAGTAAGCTGAACAGCCTTCTACCTTAAAAAGCACTTCTGGTACGTTTACGTTAGGATTTTCATATTTTTAAATGTATGCTATTTGAATTATTTAAAGGGAAGAAGAGGAGGATTATTTCATCTGGGAGTCACAACTGAGCAGGGGAAACGTCCAAAATATAAAATATTAAGTATTCCTAGTTGCAAATGCAAAAGCAAAGAAAGAAAAAACCTACACAGATTAAAATACTCCTTCTACAACAAAGAAATTATCTGTGATTTGGCAAAATTAAAAATAATTTACTTCATCCCATTTGATTACGCATAAAACATCTGTATTATATTGTTCTTACACATTACACAAAGGTCATCTCCATAGGACTGGAGAGCTACGTTTCAAGTTTCCCTTTCATACTTAAAACTGCGATTTTATGTATTCCATGGTGTAATTTTATTCTCTTACTCTTTATTCTCTGAAATTCCTATAGAACATCTTAGTATCTTCTCCGCTGACACTTCCATCTGACAGTAACTCTAACTTGAATTGGTTGTCTGCAATCTAGCACACAACACTGCTCGAAGCAGATCCAACCCACTTAAAGTTTTAGTTTCACATGTAATGACAATTTGCAAGGCTATCTGTAATTCTACCAGTCTTTAAAAGAAATCCTGAGGTTTTTTTGATTTGGGTTTTTAATTTTTCCCCCCAAACTAATACTGTGTTCAAGATGAAGCACGGCTTTTTCTAAAAGTTATTGCCATTCCCCCACGACTGGTGACAGACATTCCTTCATTCACCTAAAAATGATTTCTGGAAACATTCTGTATTCTCAGGGAGGAATCTCTAAAAACTCAGATATCGCTTCCTATTCCCTGTCTTTTCTGCAATTTTTAGCACATCACCTACTACTTTTTCCATTATATCACCACAATGAATGCCCACAATATTTAAGCAATAAGGTTCCGTCACTGCCTCGTGTAGCAACTAAAAAATAATATGCCCAACACGACTGCTTGCCTCTCTGTTACAATTCCGTAAGCATGAAACCACTTCAAAGAAAAACAAAAAATCCACCTCCACTTCTATGTAATATTCATGAATTTTGTAATAAAAAAATATGGAATTGTTCAAACGTTGAAGGACAGTATTTTAAAATGCAAAATTCAGCAGGGACAGCCTTGTCTCTAAAAACCATCTTTCACACATGCGAAGGACTGAAGCCTGTACCTTCCTATGGATTGGAACCGAACTGGACTCGGCTACATCACTCGATCGCCAGCGTTCAGTTTTGTGTGCCACCTCTTTCCACCCGTGTTAATGCTGCACTCATGCCGACTGCCAAGCGCCCTCAGCTCCCAGTGACCGCAGTGAAAATTAGGGTATTTAGCACTTTGTGTGTTCCTACCATTAATCAATAGCCTTTTTCCACTTTGAACAGGAAGAAAAAAACAACACAAGAAATACCAGCTTTCCTTTAGTTTGCCGAGACAATTTTAACCAATTAAATTTAAGCTTCACAGGCTCTTATTACAACAATTCGACACAAACTCTGAAAGTATCTCATGTCTGAATCATCCTCTATGGAGATGATATTTAACCCAATCCCAGCCTTAAGGAGAAAGGCTCTGTTGTGAAAAGAAAAGAACAAATGGAGAACTGAGGTAGGAAGGTGGAGAAAGCCCAAAGCGGGGCTTGTGTTTATTATGCTTTAAAAAAGGTAACATAAAATCCTATCAAATCGATGAAAGCTTTTGCTATTGTGGAAGTTAGAGTAAAAATATGATTGTTTTTATTCTGAGTAAGTATAGCTGAGTTACTGTATTACAGACAGACTATTGCCAGAAGAATTGAAACCACCATCCCTACTAGTTGTTGATGAAGGTGTCATTTTCATCTCTTCTCCCACGACATCCCTCAACTTCAAATGCCTACATATATTATGGCAAGGTAGTCTATTCTCTTTACAAGTTGCAGAGAAATTATTATGCATGGAAGTGCATAATAATCCAGTCCAGTCGTGACTCTACCACTGACTTCCCACATGAATATGCACGAATCAATTAAACCTCTGAATGCATCAATTTCCTTCTCGAGTAGTAATGATAATAATAATAATAGCTGCCCATTGTATAGGGCACTGCATGCAATATTTTTAATGCCTGCTAATGAAATGTGCTATTAATTATTAGAATGCAGTTTGTTTTCAAAAGCCAAGTACCGGCGTGTCTTAACTTTGAACACAAAGGGACACAACTTGAACATTTCTAACAAACTGACAATGGGAAAGTGCTTCCAAGTGTTATGGCAAATCCTACTTAAAAATGAGAACTTTTAGATCATACCAGCTATACTGCAGAGAAATTTGCAGCTAAGGGGTTAATCGGATTAGATGGGAGTGGTTATAGGCTCCGTGCCACAGGTTTTGCCCTTTGTGGCTTCTCACATCCCAGACTTGGAAAATATGAGCTGTGATACTGAGAAAGGTAAGAAGCCAGCACAGCCCCATAGTGATAAATGAGTTTGCATCATCTGTCATTAGAACTTCCTGCCAACAGGGTCATTCCCTATTAAATTACCACTTGTCAATGTTTAAAATACTGATTGATAAATGACTGTGCCAAAACTGATAACACGACAGCTTTTATTTTCTAATATTCTTGGTTACCACATTCTGCTACTTCAAAATACAGATATAGTAGGGGTTTTTTTTCCAACTACTTTAGTGAAAGACAATTTAATCTAATACAAAACTAACAGGTACTGTATAATGATTGGTCCTGATATACATTACATACTATTCTTCTTGCCAAAATAAACCTACTGGCGATTTAGCGATATGGGTAGATCCAAGTTTCACATTTCATCAAATGCTAGTAATCTGTTTTATCAATATAAACTGCATTTTAATGAAAAAATTCTTTTCTTCAGTACACTTCACTTTTAATGCCCCAGAGTATAATAATTCGTTCATGCTGTAGAACAAGAATGTTTTACAAGACCTTAACTCTCCAGAGAAATTTCTCTGTAAATACAAAATGCAAGTTTTATGGGAATGTGTTGTATGCAACATGAGCAGTACCCAACATAATAAAAAACTAGGTTGCACAGAGAATTCTGCTTAAGTATCCTTGTGAGCTATTGTGAGACGAAATGGTTATTATGATAGCGTTTAGTGGAATACCTATACAACAGATAAAAGAGAGTCAGTAGAAGTATTTTTGTCCCTCAATAGATAAAAAGAAATTACTTTTTAGAAAGTTTTGCAAAATGAATACATCCCAGCAGACTGTTGAGCCAGGCTCTCCTCTAGGAGGGCACTCTCAGCCTGCTGCTGCTGGAGAGTTTTGGGGATAAATATTTTGGGGATAAAACTGGCATGTTCTGCCTGGAAGACCAGGCTAGGGCAACTGCCACACCTCTGCAATCCAGAGCGAGAACGGAAACTCCCACATCACCCCCCAACCTCCTCAGCGGCACACGATGCACATGTGGAGGAAGCACCGTGTAAGAACGCACCACTCAATACGGATGCTTGAGGCACCCTTCATTCAACCACCCAACCCCTTGCTGTAGGTGCAGCTCCCTGCAGGTAGCACTTAGTCCCGAGATGCAGGAGGTAACCGACCCGCTGCCAAAGGCTCCAGAATTGGAAGACTCCGTTTTATGCCCTTTTTAAGCCAGTGCTGCACTTTCCTCCTAATAGGTGCTGTGTCCCAGATCTTGAGAGCATCCCTCATGCTTATTGCGTAACTCTTAGCATATCACCACCAACCCTCAAAACCTGCTTGTGGCAGGTGAGGAGGAAAGACATTCAGAGGAGTAATTTCCATCACCCAGTTCTTCAGCAGCAAGCCCCAAGGTAGGAGCCGTCTATTGGCATTTTCTAATTATGCTAACTACCCATAAAGCGTGGTGGCAGGGAGGCTGTGCCTACCAGAGAGAGCACGGCATGCCATGGAGACGCCTGAGCCACCAAAGGCAGTAGGTAGCCTCAGTACCAGAATCACTATCATTAGCATAGTACTCCACCTAAGCTAATATATGCTATTTCACTGGAAGGCTAATTAGCCAAAAACTGCTCTTCTAAGGTGTACTGCTTCCCATACGCAAGACAGTTCACTTGGGTACCGCTGCTGAGCATCTCTCTGTGCAACAGAGACACGTCCCCAGTGCCCATCTATAGCTTTGGGCTCTTGTGGATTCAAGTCTCTCCTTGCTTGTTGACATCGGCATTTTTCCAGCCCACCAAAGCTACTGTATACTGTCAGGGTTACAGAGGAAGAAGAAGCCTCTTAGTTATCTAAACAAAGGTCTGAAGTTCAGCCCTGCGAGCCTGGTCCAGGTAATGTAATTTTTTAATTTCCCCAAAACAGGCTCGCCCAACACATGACAGTCACGTTTCTGTACAAGAGATACTGTCAGCGTCTTTTAAAAACTTCTGTTTTAGTCAGGAACTCCCCTGATTGGCCCTAAAGTACTCTGTAAGTTGGCAAATTCTGCCTCTCTTACACTATAACTAAAAAAATACAAAATCAAATGGATGAAATTGTCCTGTTAACTGAACTAAGTTATAAAAGCAAATGAAGAAACAACAGTCTAACAGAATTAAAGATTTAATTCTACTTCAAAATGTGTAAGGCATATAGTACAAGATACTCGCTAACAAGTTCCACTTAAACAAAGCTATTTTTATGTTCTGCTGTAATCGTCATCCTCTCATGTTTCTTTTATATTATTCCACCTTAGCCCAATGTGCATTCTGAGCTCTTAGGAAGGTTACTTCATTCTTGCTTATAAAAACATCTTCCTTTTCTACCACATCGTGGTAATAATAAAGATATACTACAAGCAGAGGAATAGTAATAATAACAAAAATCTGTACTACGATTTTCACTGAAATGAATTCCAAGGAGTACCTAATGTGACCCTGCCTTGCTGCCTGCCACAGACAGTAAGGACGCAGATGGGCCGAGAGAATTCATACAAAATATCAACGAAGCCCTTCCAGAGGCATTCCAGCAGGGTCTGCTGGTACATGGAGAAGCAAGTACCAATGACAACATCAGTAAAAAGGAGATTTTCTTCCTGGACCATAGTTTTCCAGTGCAAAAGTGGAAACAGATTATATCAAAATAGAGTCTATTGATTGTACAGGGGGAAAAAAAAAACCCCACACATTTAGGATTTTATTTACATTACAATAGAAAAATATACCGAAATTAAGCCAATGGCAATATAAGTGTGAATTACAATGTATTTAATTCACTGTGTTATAAACCCCCAGTCTGATACACAGCACATATGGCACATAAGATGAGCTACTGGTCTACCCACACCCCTTGCAATACCTACGCACTACGAAAGGACAGCCTTAACTTGGACGGGCTTTTTGTCTCCAAGCTTAGAAGTACTCAGATATGTATTTCTACATAGTATCCTTCATCAGAATGTATGAAGAGGAGAACTCAAAGTCAAAAGTTACAGAGGATGAGTATGCCCGGAGTAGCTGTGGCACCACAGGCTGCACTACGGCAGCCAGTCATCGTCAGAACCAGAAAACAGGAGGATTAGGTCAGTAAATGTCTTATTCTACTAAACCCTCAAATCCTTTCATCTCTTGTCATTGTCAGATAAGGACCACATAAACACCAATACATGCCCTTGTGACAATATTTTTTATAAAGATTCTTCTTACTAACAAGCTTCGATAACTTCCTCTCACAAGTAGAAAAGTAGTGATTAGGACGCCAGTCTGAAATATTTCAATACACATTACACATCAAGGTACCTCTAATAGTATTCACAAGTATTTCCTAGGGTATCCTTAATCATTGTACCTTCACTCTTAAGTGATCATTTACTATGCTGCTTGTGCTAGCTTGTGTACCCATCATCTACAGTAATTACATTAAAAGGTAGATACGTTACAGGATTAACACATGTGACACGTTCCTTTATTAGACTGGTTTTGATCAAGGGTCAGATATATTTTATTTTGCTCTACAATTGCAATATTAATCTAAGATAATCTTAAAAAGGTCACCATCAGATGCATGAGGATGATTTCTCAGATCAACTCTCTCCCAAATCCAAATGAAGATTACATTTAAGACACAAACACACCCTGAGACATTCACATGCAAAATAAAAGAGGTCAAAGTACAGAAAAAAAAAAAATCACCCTGGTTATTTTGCCTTCAGAATTTTTAAATATTTTCCCAACATCTCAGCAAAATTATGCATTTTAAAAAGACTGCAGGCACTGAAATGATTGTCAGTCACGCAAATAATCACTTACTTACACTGTATGAGTTTGGTCTGGATAAAGCAAATTACCATTTGAAAAATAACTTGAAAAACACTCTGGGCTAAGAGCTTGCTTTATTAATTTTAGGTTGGCCACAATTTTTCTTAACCTTTTTCTCCTCAACCTCCATCCAGTTACTATACTAGTACAGTCAAAATTAAAAAAAAGCAGCATTCAATTGCCACAGGTGCATTCAACATTATTTAAAACATGATCTTGTAAAGAAATAGTAAATATTGGCTGCAGCTGAAGGTCAAAACCCAAAGAACTTAAGAACTTCAGAGTTATGCAGAAGCAGTCCTTTCTTCTGCTTTTTTTGTCTGTGATGATATTTGGCTTTCTCTTAAAAAAAAAAAAAAAAAAGAAACCAAACCCAGAACTTACATCTAGAGTTAGTTGTTGAATAAATATCTATTAGAAGTACTAGAGCTGATACTAATCTGTGTTTATAACTACTCCGCTAGGAAAGCTGTAGAGTCACACAGTTGTTTATTAACATCTTAATTTTGTCCATCACTGCTGGAAAATAGCTTTTTGGGTATAATTTCAAGTGCAACAACCACAACAAAAACGTGAAACGTGTCCTGCTTTGCGAGATGAGATCCAATACAAGAGCAGAACATGAAGAAGAACGCATGGTAAGATGGGATCTTCCCACTTGACCAGTCTGGGTAGTAGACTACTGATTTTACCCACCTAATCACCTTTTGCTTTGGACAAACGATCAATGCGCGTATGACTTCGGACTAATTTGTCAGGTCTCATTCGACCTTATCTGCCAGGGCTGACAAGTCCAAAAAAGCTGATTTAGTATATGAGACAGGTTTATCACAACTTCATCTCCAAAACTAGGCTTGGGCCACATGACTTCCTAAAGGTGTGCCAAAAACCACGAGACCCTTTTAAAAAGGCTCGATATCAAATATGCTAAGCACTCACAGCATTCCCTCACTCTTAAAAAACATGGTCTCTAAGAAGCAATATTAGATTCTCAAAGACGTACAGGTACCGATCTCCACTGCCATCCAGGAAGCCAAGTCCCTAATTAACATCCAAGGATTTTAACTCACTTGCCAAAAACATAGGTTGAAAAACTTAACTTTAGACGTTGATTTTTAAATTATTTGCATCAGTGCTTTAGAATATAAAGTTTTCCAAGATACTGAAATGCAAACCTTGCAGCGTGAACATCAGTAGAGTGCACGACCTCAGCTCCCGTCCTATAAATCCCTCTACCCCAACCTACCACAAATGTATATTTAGTCTTTGAAATAACTGTAAGTATAAGCTGGTCAGGGACAAAGTTCTCAAGTGCAGCCAGAACTTATTATCAGATCAAAAGTCGGACTCTTCCAGAGTCATTATGGTGCCTTCCATCCTTATTTCCGCAAAAAAATGTACCCAGCATCGTGTTGGTTTTAAGAGTATAATCAAATTGCAGAATCCTACTCTATTTAGTACTGGTCCCATTGAAGCAAAGTTCCTGTTTGGTGGGAGGAGAGTCCCTTATAACAGGAAAAACAATTGTGCCAGGTTTAATCAAAAGTGAGAAGGATCTAGCGAATGTTCCCTTTGAGCCACATAACCCACCGCTAATTTCAAGACGGGCTCTGAAAGGAGGGTAATAAAAAACGTCCTTCAGAGTAACCGAGGAAGACTGAAGAGCAGCTATGGCTGCAGCTAACGCCAACATCTGCAAGTCTGCTCCCGGCTGCTGGGATGCTTTTTGCCTACCTGGAAAGCAATAAAAGAAGAGGTAGGGGAGGGAGGAGGGAATAAAACCCCACTGCAACACACCGAGGGAAACACAGCTTCCTGACTACAGGCTTATCACTTTCCCCGTTCTCTAGCTTTCTTCCTCCTCCTTGACCTCCCCTGTGCAAATACACACGGAGCTGAGGAGCAGACAGCTCCTTAAAGACTAAAACAAGTGGGAAATCACTAAAACAAGCGGGAAATTGCTCATCCTGAATGATGCACGCTTGCACGACGTGCACGAAGGACAGGCTTAGCAGGTCAGGCGCTGCTTGAATAGCCTCTGATTATTGAAACACATTTATCAATTAGGGGATTTTTGCATATTATCAAACTCTTTCATTAACGATGCTTTAGCTGATTAGTTAGAACGTCACCATAAATAGAAAGTTTTGACAGGCTAGAGGCAATTTATGACGTGGAAAATGTACTGACCTGCTCACATCAGGAAACCTGACTGGAAAATAAAGAACTTGGCACTTCGGTCTGATTATTTTTTCCAAATCCTTAGGTCTGTGGTCAGGAATCAGCTTCATAAATTTTCCAATGGATGTAAGAAACGATTCCATATTAAAAGCAGAGTTGAACACCACGACATCAGCAACCAAACTGTAAAAAGGGGTTAAGATTAATGAATGTACTGCTGCTGCAGAAGGAAAAGAACTATTTTAGATGTAATGGAAATAGGATACGTATTCTCATAAACAAACAAAAAACGCAAGTGGAATGCTAATTAAAATCAGCCTTTTCACGTGAATTAGGAGTAGCATAAGTACCTTAATTAGAAATGTCTTGATTTTTGTCTATCCATACTTTTGATATATTTTTTAACTTTCTTAAACTAACTAATAATTTATTATCATTAGTCTAAAGGAGCACATCCCATTCCATCTGTGGATCACTTTTTATTCATAAAACGGTAAGAATAATATTACTCCCATTATCTCTTAAAAGCATTATAAACAGATAAGGCCCATTGTAATATGACTTTTGTAGATTTGAACTTGGAAGAAAATGGAAATTCCTTAGAAATAATGCTTCGCACTGAAGAACAACTTACCTTTGGATAACCTACCTTCAAATGACCACGTGTGTCAGGTAGCGGGATACCAGAGAAATAGAATTTTATTTTAACCTATGCATACATAATCCTGATTAAAAGTATATTCACTAAATATGTACATATAATATACATAGCACACGGTACAGAAAAAAGTTCGAAAAAATTTGGCATATTAATGCAATGTTTTGCTCTTTGCTGCTGTGTTTTAAAATCAACCAGATCAATAATTTTAAGATGTAATTAAATGATAATGTATTATTTCTCCACTTAGAGTCAGCCTAGAGAAAATGAGAAGCTATCTAAAAAACCTGAAATATCTGAGAGTTTATCCTGGAAGTGCTGACACAATCGTAGCTACGCTGGCAAACACGCAACGCTAACGGAGGTAAGAAATGCTTTATGGCCGGTTGGTTTTCTCAATATGTTATATATTGTAATACAGACCTATGGGTCATAAAATGCATTGAGGACACACGTTCATAAGTGACCGGGCTGGTGAGAAGTATATTTGAGGTGAGAGGCTGTCATTCATCCTCACTGCATCACACTGTCTGGTCAAAAGAGAGACCTGACACTCCTCACCAAAGCAAGAGGCAGCAGGAAAAGCAAAAAAACCAAACCAAAACAAAACAAAAAAACCAAAACACCAAACCCCAACATTAGAGAGAGAAATAATCCTTCCCAAGCAGGCTGTGGAAGCCAAAATACTTTCTGGAAACCCCCCCCTTTCCCCACCTATGGCTTCTACCCCTGTAGTCTCCTCTTTTTTGTACAAATGATCCCGTTGTTCTTTCTGCACTGAGTTAGAGAAGACATGAGATAACACGGGAGCCCAGCACATTTCTTTGCTGGTCTCTGACATCTAGCAAAAGCTCCAACACCATCGTCTCTGCTTCTCTTGCGCACGAGGTCTTAGCTGCCCGACTTTCTCCTAGAGGCTCTGCATAACACCAGCAAATTAGAAAGATCCTGTCACCCCCACTGCCTGAGCAGCTAAAAGGAATCTCAGTCATTACTGAAAAAAATTATTTTATTACATAAACTCTACAGAATCATTAGGGAGAAAAAAATTCTCTTTCTTAATGATTCAAAGCACCAACCTGAAGATTCAAAGTGCTCCAATTTCAAGCATCTCCAAAACCTCAGTGCAAGACTGGAAAGATGCATTTTTCACATTTCTAGCATTTCTAACAGATTTGGAAGATGGGAAGATGGCATTTCTTTACAGATGACCACTAGATAGTTACAAGCAGTACAGAGGAGATGACTTCTATCTGCTGGGGTCTCTGCAGCAGCAAGAAGGGAAGATGAATATTATATAATTACATGGAGAAGCTATCGGAGGCTGAAGGAGACAGAATGGAGTACCTATAGAAGTGTTCAATTTTTTTTTCCCCAATGCAAGGAAATTATCTTTTATTATCTTAAAAAGCGCCTATTTTGAGGATAAATGTACGTCAGCTTACAACAGATGTGTGAAAAATAACTACCATAATAAAGCAAAATATATATACAAAAAATGTTTCTTGCCCCAGTGCCAAAAACTACACCTTTTTGCTACAAAATCTGAAAATCACTGCTTCTGTTCTCAAATGACCTTTCACTATACTTTCCCATCTTTACTGCCCAGTAAGTAAAACATGTTGCAAATGCAGTGGCAGAAGCAGCTACAGAATGGTCAGAGTATACACGGATCACTATTTCAGTATCAGCTGGCTTCTATTATAAAGATTGAGAAGCTTAACTTGTACCTTAAAAGAGTCAATCCCCATTCCTAATAACTCTCCTACTAACAGATAGGTGAGAAAGATAATGGAAATTAATTTATTTCCATTGAAAACAACTGCGTTGTGCTGTTTCACTTAGGTCTGTACCGTGCCTAACCACAAAGCCTTTCAGTGTTGCTGTTATTAACTTCTTTCATTAACTCAGATTCGAGAAATACATTTGTTTTTAGCAACAATAAAGGACCGCAGCCTTTAAAACGTCTGGGTATTTTAGCACTGCACAATTCCTGAATTCTAGATGAAAGAAATACAAGGATTTATCTGGTATGTTTACTGCCCTCTCTTCCCAAGGAAAGTGCTGCATTACATTTTAATTTCTGTTTATTCCCCTAAAACCCTCTACATAATTTCACTTGGATGCAGTAAAAGCTACGGCCAAGCAACAGCTGATCAGCGGCAGCTTTGTGGAGCATCCCTGAAAAAGCATCTCGCTTACGGCCGAGACACGGCTCAAAATCCGCACCACCAACAGGAACGCCACGGTAGCCCAATACAGCATCGGTGACTTTATACAATTCATCGAGATGAGTTTGTAGAGCAGATTAATTCTGCCACAGCACTCTTACCAACCTCTCTTTGGGACCCTGCTGGTACCTCGGTTTGCTGCAGGGTCACGGTTTATACGGAGGAGGACTCCTCAGGCTTACGATGCTGCGAGGTTGTAGACAGAAGGACACCTTAAGTAACGTGGAGCGGTGCGGAAACACCTACCATGAAAGAATCTGGTTGTACCCGTACTGAAAATCCCTTTCCTGGCATTTCTGGACAGGATATGCCAATTGATTCTCGTGGAAGTAGAGGACCTTTTTCAATTTGCCAAGGTCAGGACGGAGGGCGGCGAGTTCAGCCAGGTTAAGCACGGAGCTTGCAAAGAGGATCCTGGAAAACAAGGAGAGCAGTGTTTACCGCCTGTGAGCGTGCTCGCAGGGGTCACCCCTGCCCCTGCTCCCCACCCCAAGAAAAACATAACCCCTATAGGGACACATCAATAGCTAAGCCTTAATACCGTGTAGCAGCATGCGAAGTTTTGATCTCTTAAAAAGCAGCTGCTAAGAACCCAACTAGAAAAGCACTGAATCTCATTGGTCTTCCCAGCTCGGTTACAGAGAGATGCAAAATAAAAAAAAGCTGGATGGATTTTATTGAAAAAGGCAAGAAAAGCTGTATCTGAAGGACAAATGGAACAAAGATAAGGCTGACTAGGGAATACTTTGCTTGCCAGTTTCATTACACTTTACTTCTTTATGCAACCAACTACTGAAATTCAATATATGAGCAGGAATGGCACATGTTCGTGTTATGACATAAACCCTTTTGATTTATGCAGTGCACTTATCTAGTACGGTCTGCTTTTCTGTTTTTTCTTTTTACCCTTTTTCTGTTTCATTTTCACCTCTGTATTAGGTATCCTCTACAACAAAATGTTGTTTCTACCCTTGCACCCCAGTATTGCCATAGCACTCCTGCTATTCCACAGTCTACAACAGTGCACACATCCTTCATTTATACAAAGCAGGCACAAAACAGCACTACAAGCTGCTACCTTAGCCTCATAAAACCTACCAGGCTATCAGAAAATGAATGTATTTAAATGCGTAATACGAAATCGTGACTGTAACCAGTTTCACCACAAGTATGCGAGCACCTCGTCCCCTGGCTAACGGCGCTTTCGAGCCAACTGAATCCTGAACCTTGAGATTCGCAGAGCCGTAAACATTTGTGTTACACATTTCTCATCGTAAGGGATAAAAAAGAGAATAGGTATTTATTGCACATAAAACAGTAAGCTTTAATAAACTACTCTTCAACATAGCATGTTTCTGGCTTTTTTTTTTTTTTTTGCTGTCTGCCGTTTTGGTGGTTCAGATTCAGAATTGATTTATGCAATGTTTAATTCTTAAACTTTCTCCTATTTTTTTCTACTTTTATTCCTATTCTTCCCATTCTTTACGCCATTTTATTCCCACTCTTCCTATTTTTACATGCATTTTGTGTTCAAGAGTACTGTCAAACTGACATCACATAATATTATAAACTTCTGATTCCGGCTGTCAACCTTAAAACTCGTGAACTCCCCCAAACATCCACATATATCACTATCACCTATGCTACCACACACCGTTCTTCGATAATCTGTATATACAGAGCAAACACTTCCTAGAGAACAGATCCTGTATCCATCTTCATCAACCTGAGTCAATGCTAATCTGAAAGGCTTACCAAAGTAAGAGATGAATGTTATTGCCTTGTTCATCAAATATTTGATCGTTCTAAAGGGACTGTCAAACAGAATGCCAATTAAGATGCGAGCTTGGGTTTATTACGAGCCATACTAAGAGGAAAAACTAGTTTTACGTTAAGTCATCACTTATTTGTCATGAAGAGTAATAACCTCCGGACCTCATAACGACCTGGGTGCCAGGCTCAAAGCAGAGGCAGGAAAGCTTCCTACGGGCGACGTAAAACCCCCGCTCAGACGGCTGCGAGTTTAGCACTTGAGTGACAAAGAAAATACAAACAGGAAAAAACATACCCCAAATATTACAAAAGTTAGATTAAACAGTTGCTTGGCAAAATTTTGGCTATTTCTGGATTGCATTATAGTTTATGCTTTCCTTTCCTGATTTTTCAGAAAATCTCTTTCTGCGATGAGTTAGGAAGAAAACTGAATTGATGCAGGACAGCATCTATGAACTTGGCTGTGTTTGAACGAAGAGATTGGCACATTGGCACTGAAACACGGGAAGCAGCACAGACCAAGACGCAGAAGCAAAAGGGGAAAGAGAAGACAGTCGGGGTGCCAAGGTTAACATGAGGACTGGTGGGAAAAGGGCAACGGGAAGCACCCTGAGAAATGAGATCCAAAAGTTAAAAGCTTAGACAAAACCATGCAGCTCTTAAATATCTGAACTCGCTCAGATAGACAACAGAATAACTAGGAGAAGAATATGAAAAAAAGACGGTGATAGCCGCAGGAAAGGAAAATAATGTTTGCAGTACCGGCTTAGACCGACTGGAGGACTGAATAGCATCGTTAGAGGGAGTGGGAAGCTGGCTTCTAGTAAGGCTGAAAACTTGGAAAGCTTGCAAGAGGTAGACCCAAATTTTCTCCACTGTAAATGGGAAGGGATAAGACTCAATTAACAAGCAGATCACTTATCACCACCCAGCCCATCAATAAACCAGTGTCAAGAGAAAACTGATGTGAATACTAAAAATTCAGATTTAGAGCCTGAAGCGACACTGCTTACATTTCTTACCAAAAAACAAACAAACAAAACCACTTAACTGGTAATATTATTCGAAAACACCCTTCTTGTTTCGCTTGCATTCACAGCATTTCCAGAATTTAACCCAACAAATACGAGATGTTCTTATAGTTGTTTCTTTACCGGCGTAAGAGCTGCGAACCACCAGCGATAACCCATTTTTCTGGCATTATAAGCTTAAACACCACCTGACAGCACGAGTCCCCAGGAACATGCCCGCAGAGCGGCCATGGACGTGGCTAATGGACTCATGCAGGGCACCGGAGGATATGCTGGAGTGTATTTCCACTTAACACCTATTTGCAAGAGGAAAAAAGAAAAGTTTATTGTAATGTAACATGCGACATATATTTATGTCAGTTGCCATTCCGTGTGACACCAACTTTCATTTTACCTCGGGTTATTATTTAAGTAATAAATCCTAACAAGGTGAGCTTTATCATCCTACGGAGTGTATCCGGGAGGTAGAGACACAAGGTGATGGCAAGAACGCTCGAAACGTGATAATTCCTGACAGCTGCTGCTTGAGCACAAGTTAAATTGAACAGTTTATCTCAGCATAAAGATGTTATAAGGTTTTATGTTTAATTTAAAAAAATTAACATAAAACCCAGAGAAAGCAGAGTTAGGCAATCTTTCACAAACATGACATACTACAATCACTGTATAAGCTGGATTAGTACTTATTACCATGCTACTAGAGAATTAAGCTGTTTTTAGACCACCAAAGAGCTTTAAATTGCAACTTTTGTCTCTGTAAGAGAAACCTATATTTAAAACGTCTGCTAAATTCAAATTAACAGCTACATCATTAACCTACCATCTCACAAACCCCCCCACTTTTCAACTGCTATTATGGTATTTTTATCTAGACCTATCAACACATAACATACAGCACTCTTCAAGAAATACATTGCGCAGATCCTCACAAAACCTGCGTTGAAGGTCACATTTCGAATGCGACTGCCCTAACTCTGCTCTCCGAAATACCCCCCAAGTGTTTTTTTTTTTTTTCTATCTTACAAGTGACATTCTTCCATAGAGCAGGACCATCACACATGAAGTAGCATCACTGCCTTGGAGGCTGGCCAAATCTCAGGGCCACCATCCACACAAGCCTTGTCTTACGCTAAGCTTGTGCTTAACTTGAATCACTTAATAGTCCTTCCGACTTCTGAGGAACTACTTACGTGAATTAAGTTAAGCATGTGCTTAATTCATACAAATATTCACGGGAGGGAAGCTGAGCGCGCTTGCAGGTTGAGAGCCGCAATGTGTCTGGAGAACACTCTGACCTTTGCTATTGTCCTTCCGATTATTTTACACCAAAGGACTGAAAACTCAGTAAAATATAAAAGCCTTTACTTTTTTTCATTACCAGCAGACAAAATGACTAGTACAGGTTTCCATTTATATCAAGCAAATGATAAAAGTAATGGTGCTAAAGTATTTTTATTTTGCTTTATAAATCTTCTTTGTGTCACGTAACCATGATTTATTCTTTTACAGCATTGCCCTAAATCTTTCAATTAAACTCCCATGCAACTTAACTAAAAACACATTTTGCCTTCCCCCTGGGAGACCACACAGGGCATATTTATGTTTCTATGGATATGGAGGCTGAACTTTCCAATTCACCGGGCTTACAGCACAAAAAAGTTAAAAAACAAGTTAAAAACAGCACCTGATTTGTACTGGAATATTCCTTCTGTCTGGCAGAAGCTCTGCCAGCACCAAGGACTGACGGCCACGGCCACCTCTTGCATCGCAGCCCAGGTAACCCACACCCAGCTCTCCCTGGAGAGGCAGGATTTACCGTAGGGTACGATCCTGCACTGCAAATGAAATCCAAGGTCATGAATCTCCGCGGCAGAACAACTACATTCGCAGTACAATGAGTTTATGATTGAAGGTCTGGCAGTCCGGAAAAGAGGTACGAGCACTCCTCATTTGCCAGGCGCACTATTGGGATAAAACAGTTAGATTTGGGTATCGCTGCAAATATGAGCCTTTTGGGGGGATACAGGTACTAAAAAAAGACTGTTCATTAGATGGCACTGACTGAATTAACATTCATCCATCCTTCCGGAGGGAAGCGTGACGCTGGAAGAAGTGGTTTTGCACCAATCTAGAACTAAAACCTTGAGCAGTCAAAGGCATCAAGTCCCACCCAACAAGGCATTGACCGCTTTGCTCTTGCCAAGGCCCAAATTACACTGTATCAGTAACAGCATTTCTTTTTCCTGAAATTTCAGTTGGCAGGTTTAATGTCATAGAGCAGAACCTTAAACCCCCTGATTTTTACCCCAAATACGGTTTTATTCTGAGCACAGTTCTTGTGCAGTCAGCAGAGCAAGTCAGGGTGCCACCCGAGGCCGCACAGGCACCAACGACCCAACAAATCATCATCGATAACTGTGAAACACAGAAAACAGCCACACCACTGCTGGTGGCTACGTTTTCTCCAGTTGATCAGAAACCAACCAAAATTTTATAGCGAAGAACAGGAGCCGTTAGGGGAACCATGTGAAGTGAGATTAGGGGCAGCTCATCCTTCTAGTGAAGGCAAGCAGGGTTGGGACAGGAAGACGTACCGAATGGTGCTCTGCTATGTTGCCTCCCTAAATATCAGGGAAATAAAGCAAGGAAAAGACAAAAGGTATGACCATAAACACATCCACCTTGAGAAACAAGGGCTTCAGAGACCATGGTGTCTTCGAGCTCCTCAGGAACAAACCTGAGGGCTTTGGTTCCTCCATCTCATCCACTACCATACTTTCCTTGATTTCAACCCAGCATGGATTTAGCTTTATTTTTCAAATGTAAATTCTATATCAAATAGCATTATTAATGCCCGGAATGTTAAACAGACTGATTATTTTTGTTTATTATTACACATTTTTATATGAACAATTTGTAGAAGTTGAATTTTTATTACTAGCCCAAGAATACACAAATTGCAAGCAGATATGAAATGCTTTTCCATTTTCCATTAAACAATACATGACTCCGAATTTCTGAACAATAAATACTAATAAGTGATAATATGACAGTATACAGTATAATAAATAATAAATTAACAATACTTTTACATGGAATGTACAAATGTAAAAAATGCTTATAGATATTATAATATATATCTCATAAATTAAAGTTTTCTAGATAGAGCATAATTTGAAATGTTTACAAAAATAATTAAGTCTTACTATTCTAACGTTCTTTATTTTTCAGAACAGATCACAAGGGCTGTCATGCCTTTCATCTTAATTAGGCCATGTGTTTGTCTTATTTATTTGTTATGTACTTTCATAAACGTTTACAAATATTAATTGTAAAGAAAAATATTTTCTCCTCTTGCTGTAATTATGTACATATAGTACACAGTGATAAATATTCATGGCTGCTACCAGTTCAATAGTTTGGGATTTGGGGGTTGTCTTGCGTGCTAAAATACAGTTGAAATGAATAGCTCGTTTTGAACTCGTATTGCCAATCCCTTTTTTGATATTTTGATTTAGAAATACATTCTCCCTCCCTGATTTTATAGTACGTTATTTCAGACTACAGTTGAAATCCTTGTTCCTACTGTGACAGACCTTAGGTATATTTTCCAAAAGAATTTACTGCCTAGAAATCAAATGCATTTTCCCCTTCTTCATAGATACCACAGCCCAAACAAAACCCTAAACTATCTGCATGCACATCTGCTATCTGACACAGCTGGAGGCGAAGGGGGTTGTGTTCGCAGCCACACTACTGCTTGTCCCACCCTTCCCTGTGTCTCCTCATGCCACCCAGACTTTCAGACCTCTGTTAGGACCATGGGTAGAGTTTCTCGAGAAGCTCCCGGCTCAATCTGTGGACCCCACTGATGTTATTCAGCAAAACTAGAATGGGGCTGAAGCTGAAAAATAGCAAATCTCTTGCCTTTAACATATCCAAGAGGTTACATAAATTATTTAGTCTGTAAATTACTTGGGTTCTTTCTCAATTCCTTCCTAACCCTCCAAATTTTCATTTTGTACGGTTGATCAGAATATTTATGCACAACCAAATCTCAGAATCAAATTTTGGGGCCAGATGCCCAGCTGACAGAATTGGTTAAGAACTAGCCTTAAACGCTCAATGACCTTTAACCTCAGAAGATACCGAAAAGGATGTGAAAACAGTTAATCAAAACTACGTTTCTATTTAACGTCAAGAAGTAAGCCTGAACGAGACTCTCTCACAGATAAAGCTTTTAGATGTTTGAGGGGGGAGTATTTTGTTTGGATTGCTTTGGTTTTTAGGCAACAGCACTAAAGCTTCTTGAATTTTAAGTGTGGTACTATTTTTTTTCATTAATTTGTAATTAAATTTGGCTTCAATTAATTGCTAACAGATGCACATTTTTAGTTTAGTGGCCAGATTCTTCACCATGGGCTACATCGTCCTCTCTGTTTCCACGAAGGGAGAGGATGAGACCAAGCAGCCATAGCTGTGGTGATGGGGGGAAGGAGAAAGCCATGAATCTACATCATCTTCCTCACTCAGATTTCATCGTCAGCATTAAATAATAAAGCAAAGACAACTTATTAGAGCAGAACGTGGGCAAATCAGAATAACCCACTAGTGAAAAGCAGCCATTGCTGGATGGCCTATGAGATGTATGGACTAACTCTGCTCAAGTATATGCTGCAACGGAGCAAGAAAAAAAAAATGTAAGAAAAAGAAAGGACAGCGTCTGAAGGCAACAAAATCATCAAGGGTATATACACAGGATGTAGTGATATACAGTAAAAAGACTTTTTTAAAGAGACTTGTAAAACTAATGCTCTACTCAATCAGGTAACATTTAGATAGCATTATTTACTGTTTTAAAATCTGCAAATTCATTTCATCCGTTATCTTACCTGTCCAGCTCTGGAGAAAAAACCCAAACATGTCAAATGACTGGCACGCAAAATGCAATATGCCCAAGAGGTTATAGCAACATGGAGAAGTCTTAAGACTACACATAACACCACTATTCAGTAGCAGATCTGAACAACAAACTTTGAGGACCGTTACTTCACATCATCTGGTGTGGATATATGGACCTCACTATAAGTGAGATTGATTCCCCTTCAGTGGGATAAATCCAATTCAGTGCAGCACAGACTCACCAAAATCATGAGAGGTTCCCCTAAAGAAGTTTACATGAATAGATGCTCTAATGAATGAAGGGTGAAGTAAAACAATAGCCGATTGTCCTTTATTTTAAAAAGTACTGACAAACTCAAAACTCGAATCTTCTCCCACTTTTCAGGTTTACACATTTAATATTTTAAAACAACAGAAGACCCACTCGCTTTGCACAACCACAGAGAAGATGAGCAGGGTCTTAGCAGACCGGTTAGTTTTAAGCTTCAAGTGCCCCAAAAATCCTGTTCTCTGAAGTATTTCAGGCTGTTTTGTATGTTGCTTTATATACCTTGAGATCTAAACACTTTTTTTTAGAAATTTGAAGGCTATCGCTAAAAGGAACTTAGTTTTCTTAGGAAATGGATTTCACATTTTTCTAATATCCCATGGCTCCGATTTCATCTCACACAATCTAGTCCTTTAAAGAATATTTTTATGGAAGCTCTTAGCTAATTTTCCCCCAAAACTCCCACTCCAGAGCATCAACCCAAGGCATAACTACTGCCTAGGAATGGGGACCTCAGGAAAAACAGGAGTCTTCCCAGAAAACTAATACAGTCCTCGAAAAAACTCAGACTGTCATAAAACCTGAGCATCTGGCAACTCTGTCACCATGAAGTATCCATATGGAAGACCGAGATGTGTCAAACTACCCAAAACGAGTTTGGATAGTGCAGAAGAGGGAATAAATAATTCAGTATCTTCAACACTTTCAACAGCAGGTAGTAGCTATGCTACCTGCTTCTACAACGTGCCAAAATGTAACACGCGAGTGAGAGCGAGCGAGAGAATGTGAGTATCTCCAACCTGTTTTCATGAGGATATTTTGCTCGAGGAACTTCTCTTTTTAGAGGCATATGATCCATATCAGATGTTCGTCAGGAGCAGGCAGTGCTACAGAACATTAGGAATAACTTGGTGATTTTAATATATATTCACAAAGTGCATACTTCTTCATATACATATATAAAAAAAAAAACCTTAATCAAATACTACAAACAAATACAAGGCAAGTGCAAATATTTATTTCTCCCAACTGCCCTTTACACTTCTATAACATTTGTTGCTGTGGCATAATGGCAACTTTTCTGCATTAATATAAACCGAGCAAGCTATTCAGTGTGATCAGTGAACTGGCAATCAGAACTACAATTTAAATGTTTCTGCTCCGTGTTCACACAATAGTTCAACTACAAAACTACACTGCGCAGTGCCAATCTTTTTCCTTCTCTTCCCATAAGAAATAGCCACACATCGGTGTGTAAACATATTCTCTGTGAGTATAAACGATGTAACAGAAAATAAAGTCACACTTCTGTTCGCTAAGAAATTAATAAGAATAATGCTTAAGAGCTTCCAGACCTCTGTGTCCAGTGTCTATGTAATAGATACAGACCTGTATTAAATAGACGTTGATATTAGATATAAACTAAATGAGAAAGCACCATGAGAAGAGCGGGGATGTCACAGTATACTAGTCAGAAATCTCCAGGAGAGTAGAGGCTCTCTGATTTGACTATTTGGGTCAAAGCCTAATATCGTAACTATTCCTCAAATATCAGCATGGGCCAACATGAGCTACTCACTAGCCCTCAGTGGCCGTGATCACTGCATTTGATGCTGCTCCTCCAGCATCTCTTGCACACAGAAGATGATGCTCAGTCACAGAGACCACAAAAACAAGAGGCTGCAGGAGAGCCCCACTCACTGGTAGGTACTGGTGGCCCAAAGCCCTTCCTACGTGGAGCTATTTAGCAACCAGCACGTACCACAACCATGGGGACAGCAGCTAGACCAATACTCAACAGCACATCAATAAGGAAAAATTCAGTCTTCATGTACTACACACTGGTTTTGGCCGGCAGGCTTTCTTACTAGATCATTTTTTAACTCTGCAAAGCCCATACTCACTACCAGATTTGAACAATTACACCGCAATGGCTGAACGACCGACTGCAGCGAGATTTCAAAGAAGTGAGACAAACACTCTCCTAAATTCAAAAGCTGCCAAACATATTTCAGCAGACTTTCAAAAAATAATTGTTTTGTCTGTTCCGAATTAAACTTTAAGTGCTTTAAGAGAGTTTTCTCTACAAACATGGCTAAAGATCACAAAGGGGAGCATTTGGATTGAATGTAAACCTTCAGACATATATTTATTAAATAAAACTTGCATCATGCCTGGCATATACCATAAGCTGTTTTATTTCCATTTACATAACATGATTTTAAGTGTAATCTGTATTGACATCCTATCATTTTATTTCATGTGTTACCGTAACAGGTTTTTATTTATTAATGTCACCAGTAAAAGAAAAGGAAGAAAAGGGTCTCAGCTTTGCAGCTTGGGCAAGGCAGTTCGGAGCCCCTGACATGGGACATAAGGGACCAACGCAAGAGCAGACACATACAGGAGAGAATTCAAAGAAAAAGAGAATGTGCACTAAAGTGAGAGAATTTGACAGTTCTGAAGCTGAAGCCTTTTGCCCATTTTTGGCCTCCAGCTCCTGGGTGAGCGTCCCGCAGGGTTAAGAACTACACTGGCCATTTACAGTCACATTAAAGTCAATTTTGACAACACGGATGAATTCCCCAAGTAATTCCCCAAACC